CTTATTTGGGTCTAATTACCTTTACCTTTTTTTAATCCACATTTATTATTTAGGTATTTTTTTCCTTTTACCCCATATACCTCTATATAACTCCCAGTGCAATATTAAATAAAATAAACATTACTTTTTCCTTTTTTGTAATCATTATTACTTACAAAAATTTTATTAAACACCATATTTACTACCATCTTTTTTATTTTTGTACATTAAACATTTTTTTTTATATTCCCAAAACTTTTTTTCCCAAAATTTTTAAAGTTTTATTTTAAAGTTTTTTAATTTCAACTCCATCCTTTAATTATCCTTTTGTACTGTGTACCTGTCTACCATCTTACTTCTTTTATAACCAAGCATTCCCATTGTTATTTTTTACTATTTTTTTTTGGGTACTTTAATTGTGAATTTTTTTTTGTCAATTTAATTAGTTATACCCTTGATCTTCAACAACCTATACCGACTTAGTCATTGCAAGTACCATTTTAAATTTTGATTTTTATATTTAAGTTTATATTAAAATTTCCCTACTCAAGTTTGTTTTCAATTTTAGTGACTATATTGTGTTGCTTTAGTGAAATTTTCTTTTTATTTTTTTTTTAAAGGCCCTTTTAACTATCTTTGCAAACTAGTCCCACTACCTCTATCTTTTTTTTTTCTACTTTTTTTTTTCTTTTGCTCCCTTAATTGTATATTTTATCTTGTAAATTTTAAAATTATTATACTCTAATTCTTGTAAACTTTATAAAACACCTTAGTGAATTAAAATTTGGGTCTTGTGTTTTTTATATTTTTTGATTAAACTCATTGTATATAGTAATCCAAATTCATTATATTAGACCAATTGCAATTATAGTGAGAGATGGTCTATTTTTAATTTTTGTTTTTTTAAATTTTATTAGTTTAAAATTTCTAGTTGTACTTTAGCCTCATTTTAGCTCAAAACAGACTCCACAAAAGTTTATTTTAGACCTTAGTCAATTACAAGGGGAGTTTTTTCTATTTTAAATTTGTATTTTTATATTCTGTTTATACCTAGTTGAAATTTTATTCATTCCAGCCAACACATAGCAACATAAATTCTTATGTGTAGTAGGATATATCTATTGCCAAAATACTCTAGCTATATACTTTTCCAAGCTTCCCACCACTACAGTATCAGTACTAGAACTAAACATAACTCAGGGTATAAAAAACCATAATTTAAAACCAGAAAATATTGATCACGTTGACCCTGATCAAACCTCCATAATCTGACACCCAACCCCCCCCCCCCCCCCCCCCCCCCCCCAAACAAAACCCATTGGAAAATAAAAATGGCCTTAAAAACAGATACCCCCGGCACCCTTTAACCTAAAAATTCTCCTCTTTTTTTCTACAACCGGTTAAGAAACACTGATTTAAAACCCCCCGGCCCCGAATTTAAAAGGGCCAAAACCTTTTGGATTAAAAAATTTTTACTCTAAAACCAATAAGATTTCACCCCTTCAGTAGAATATGGGGAAAAAATTTTTTGCAATTTTACTTAAAAAAACCCTTTAAAACACCATCTTGGGGTTGAAAATAAAAACATCCAAATTTTCGTGAAAAAAAAAATTAAAGTCACTAATAACAAACAGCAAATGAATTTAAACCCACCTTCTCTTAGCTGGAGACTTCAAATCAACCCCGGCTTTCTAATGAAAGCCTGTAATGATTTCATCAACAAAATGAACAACCACTTCTCAACCAACAATAACTAAACCCAAACCCGGCTCCTGGACAAGTGCAACCATAATAGACCAATATGGACCAAAATTACTAGCCCCCCTTTAAATCAGGGGTAATCACAGATAGCACTACAGACCACTACCCTACCTTCCCCCTGACAAACTTAAAAATCACCCTTGAATACAAAAAAGTCTCATTTAGCTCCATGACGAGGCCTCAATAAAAGTTCACAACTGACCTAGAGATTGTTACTGGCCTACAGAATTCTCCAAGGCCAATGGTACTGATGACTGGACAGCATTTTTCTTAACAAATTACTTTGATAACAACAAACATTTTCCTAAAAAACCCCAATAGTACAAACAAAAGGCTGGTTCCCTGGCTAAACCGCACCATTCTGGAATCCATTTACAAAAACACCAAAATGAAAAGCAATATAGAAGGGCTTAATACACAAAGATATTTTTTAAAACTTTCATCAGTTCCACCCAAAAAATAAAGAAAGCCAAACAAATATATACTCCTGATTCACACAACCTAGAGGAGTATAAAAAAGACCTGGAAAACACTCAGATTAGGGGCCCCCCAAACTGAAAAAAAAAAAAAGAATACTGTCCTAACTAAACCTAATGAAACACCACTACTCCCACTACACAGCTAACAAGTAAACGATTCTTCTCAACCCTTGGACTAATCTCGCCAATAAAAAACCCACTATAATGCTCATGCCGGGACTACCTAGATGGGAAAATTTCCCCAAAATTCCTTCTATCTTTCACCAAATGAGCCCTCGGAAGTCACCGGATTTTTAAAACACTTAAAAAACAACTCAGGAATCTGTTAAGTCCCACCATTACTGTACAAACAGCGGCCCATACCTTTCGCGTGCTTTTCTTACTTTTTAACAAATCACTAGAAACTGCACCCCCGAAACTATCAAGATGGCAAAAGGGTTTAAAAACCCAAAACATAAAAGGTGGTGACCCAACAGACTTAAAACTTAGGGCCAATATCAAACTTAAACCCTTGCTATCCAAAATCTTTTAGAAACTCGTGCACAGGAACTATATTCATTTATAACAGACAAATTTCTCAACCCCCGCCCCAAATTTTGGGTTAGGAAAAATAAAAGCACTAAAGATGCAACATAAAAATGCTAGATCTGCTTTCACAGCATTGGAAAATAAAATATCCACTGGGAATTTTTTTGACCCAAGAAAGCTTTTGACACAGTAGGGGACGACATCCTACTCCCCAAATGACCATTCGGTATAAGGGCCATGCGCTTGTTATTTTAAATTTACCTTTTAATAGGTATCATATGTTCCCCTTAAAGACACAGCACAAAACACGGCCCTTTTAACTGGAGTTCCGCAGGGAAGTGTCCTTGGCCCTGCTCTTCCTCATTAACAATGTCTTCCAAAAGAATTTTCCCCAAAACCTGAAACCCTTCTCCCTTTTCTGACGACAGACTTATGTCATTCTCCCCAAAACTTTCCACCCCCCAACACCAATTTTACGAGGAGCTGATCAAAATATCGCTTTGGGTGACAGCCCTAAACTTTCGCTTAACACTGACAAAAACCTACTATATTTTGTTTGGTAGCTGCAGGAGATGCACAAATTAACATTAAGACGACAAAAATTAATTACCCCGACATAAAGAGGGCAAAATTCCTAGGCCTATACCTTTACAACAACCTGAATTTTAGCACCCATATCCCAAACATAACCAAAAAAGTATCCAAAAAAAGTTGGGGCCGTCCAAGTACGATACTACGTGCCGCAAAATGCCCTTTTTTACACTATACACCACTTATTTATCCCTCCCCACCTATGCTATTTGTCTTGGGGATCAGCTGCAGCAACACACCTAAAGCCAAAATAACCCAACAAAACTGCAGTAAGAAAATCACAAATCCCCTCCCTGGCAACACACCCCCCACTCTTCATAGTAATACATCCACACTTCTACTGTGCAATCTACATCTCAGGCTTTAAACTCCAATTCAAACCCTTTACCTAAAATGGGTTTCTTGATAGTTGTGACAGAACCCA